TGTTTGTTTTTAACTGCTACATAATATTCTGAAGTACAAAGGATATACACCATAGTGCATAGGCCCCTTCTGACACAAGACATTAGGCTGTTTTTTTTTCAATTGTATCACAAACAATGCTGCAATAAACATCCTTGTATGTGCTCCCTTGTGCATATATTTCTCTAGGATAATCAAAGAAAACCAAGAGCAGAAAGGAAGCAGCTGTAGCCCAGAGGCTCCAAGGTGGAACAGAGCTCAGAATAATGAGAAATGGGGAGAGAGCAGGTGTGTCTGGAACACAGGGAGAGGCTGGAGACCACACAACACACATGGGCAGCTCCCTAACAGGGCCATGGCCATTGGTAAGGATTTGGATTTGATTCTAAGATCAAGGTTATCTGATCTGTATTTTAAAAGATCACTGTCTGCTGCATGGAAAATGGCTTTGAAGGAAAGAGTGGGAGCAGGAAATCAAGCAATAACAACTCTCAGAAAGCGGCACCAGAAGCCTGGCTGAAGGGAAAGGAAAAATCCTCAGCAGGTTGCACCAAATGGAATGAAACACAAAGTGCCTTGCTTCTAGCAGAGGAAGCTGTGGAGCGCAGTGAGGGACACGTGGATCCACAAGGCGGACGCAGCCTCTGCCATCTAGGAGTTTACACTCTAGCAAAGAATAGCGAGATCCAGCAAATAATTTCTACTGGTGCAGGCAACAGTCCTGGGAAAAGAGAACAGAGCACAGGCCTTGACATCAGGCTGTTTGCATTCAAAACTCTGCTCTTCCACCTACCAGCTGGGTTACATTGGTCCTACCTCTCTCTCTGTCTCCCTCTGTCTCCCTGTAAGTGTTCGTGAGAAGATTAAATGAGATCAATTTTTGAAAAGCACTTAACACTGGTAAAAAGGAGATACTGAATTATATTTGGTGAATAAATGGGGGAAATTTTTCCCTTTCTTTGCCATCTGTCTTCTTGTGCCTCTGCCAGGCTTTCCAGGCAATCATTTTGGTTCTAAATTCCTGCCACCTGCTCCAACGACAGAATGTGGTTGGTTACCGTTGATTCAACCCAGCCCACTAACCCTTTGCATATGGTTTTGCCAGAATCATGAGTTGCCAAGTAATGCAAATTAATTGCTTACACTCCCTTGGGCTTATTCTCTCCCCAACATTATCCTTTATAAAAACAAGTATTTTTCCCTTTCTCACCCTTTTAATCATAGAGAATTTAAAATATACTAGAAACAGTAAATTTATTTGATTAATGGATACCAAATTATTATGGTTTATTGTTTTAGACCACAGTTTCATGGGAACTTTAATAAATGTGATTGCTTTTGCTTGAGTATTAGTTAATCCTGTGGTTTAGTGCACTGAGAACGGAACATGCTGTTCCACTGACTAGCGAAAAAATGAAAGGACATAATTTTACAAAAGTATGTATGTTGAAAAGACTAAGGTAGTTTTAAAATCTCCCGTGCTCCTGGCACATATCACAAAGGTGTTCTTAAGTGTAATTTCTTTTTCCAGTAAGTTCTCTGTGTAGATTTTTTTAAATTTAAAATGGAAATCTGAAGACTAGTGCTCTGAAATTCTGAAATAATATGAGTTATTCCTAGCTATTGTTTAAAAAGCTTTCTTTGGCTTAGAGGCCTTAATTAAGATGATTTATTTTGGCAGTTATGGGATTTTACACTCTTTGTAAGTAACTAATTCAAAACTGACAAAGTAGTATGATGATAATAGATATAGTAGCTTGTTGGTTCAGGTCGTAGCCACAGTTGGGGGATAAAATATTATTATTTACCAAATCACCAGAGCTTTCCACTCAAGGACAACAGATTGCCAAAGTGTCAAATCAAATGTTAACTCTCATGTGTATCCTTCCATATCTTCCACTGCCCTTATACAAACTTCTATCTATCTATATAAATGCACACATAAGCAGGGCAGTTTTTCCCTATTTCTTGTTTAGTAACATGAAATTAAAGGCTCTGGTTTAAGAGACTGAATCAAACATACACAATGGCCACCTGTTGCTCTAGAGTCCATTATTATATAGACATTTTTTAAAGAGGAGGGGTGAATAAAATTAAGCAACAAAGAGAATAGGTGAGGAAGTCACCAATGGAACATACAATTCTGGCAAATACAAAAAAACAGCAGAGAAAGCCAAAACCCAGAATATATCAGGGACAAGGATACAGATATGATGAGAGAGAAACCTGGTATGGACATTTAATGAAAACATCACCTACATTTATTTACTTATATACGTATGTATGTATCTATGTGTTTGCATTTTAAAACTTCTGAATTCTTTATTTCTGGAATTTTCCATTTAATATTCTTGGACTGTGGGTAACTGACACCATGGAAAGCAAAACCGCAGATCAAGGGGGACTACTTTTTTTGGAGTATCTTGAATTCCAATCAACTTTAGAACAATTGGTTGACATTAATGCTAAAAAGAAGGTAAAAAAACACTCACATAAGACAAATCTCTTTTAATGAAATGAGAAGAACATTTCATATTTTGTGACTATTTGAAACGTCCAGGAGAGCGAGATCCCATCTTTCCTCTAGAAGCACGTGCAGGCTTCTTCCCTTGGTTTGGCAATATTTTCGATAATCTTCCTGAATGGTGTTTACTTTGACTTCTTGGGCTAGCTGAGCTTCTTCCACAGATCTAGTCCCTTCTTTCACTAAATCACTCTTTAGCAAGATGGAATTCTTGCTAAAAGAAAAAGTTCTTTTCTTGCTGATGAAAAAGTTCTGTATTTGGTATCACATTAAGGTTTGATGCTCATTATGTCAAGGCTTATGGTAGCAGACTATCCATTTGAGCCCGGCCTGTACCGATGTTCCCACTCTCATGTGGCCAAGCCATGGAATGTAACAAGTTCCACTCCTACGATGGTAGAGGTGATTTTGTTTTGAAATTGCTGAAGGGATCCTGGTTTCCCTCAGAAGGGCCATCTGGGCCACAGGAGATTACTACACCGGAAGATAGCACACCGGAGTGTTCAGTAAATGTTGGCCATTATGTCATGGCTCGGGAACTTTCTTTTGTACCCCAGGTCGATACAGGCATGTGTGATTTGTTCCTTTGTAGAAATGCACTCTATTACATAACTCAGTCATCCATTACCTTGTTTAAGAAATCTTCATATTATTTTCAGGTTTCATTTTTTCTTTTGTTTTGTTTTTGAGGAAGTGGCCTACAAAAAATGATGCAACAAATTCCCTTATACACCTATCCTGTAATTATTGGCACTTGTATTTCTACAGGCTAGATTTTCAAAAGTAGGATTGCTGGGTCAAAATGTATGTGTAAGTTGTATTATAATTGATTCGCCAACTTTCCAAGATTGAACTTTCCAAGAACTGTGTCAGACATGCTCTGGCCCACAGCACTGATGACTGCCTCTTCCCCAGCCAGAGCTGGATGGTACCAGTCTCACAAATCGATAAACTTACAAACTTATGTCAGTCTGATGGATTAAAAAAATAGCTCACTACTACTGCAATTTGCATTTTCCTGGCCTAGTATAGTTGAGCGTCTTTTTATACATTTATCAGCTAAATGAAATTCATTTGTGAACTAATTTTTCATATCCTGAGCCCATTTTCTTTTTTTATTCTTTTATCAGATTGTAGGAGTTCTTTGTATTTTAAAGATGTTTTCTTATCTGTCCTATATTGACTTCGAGACCACTGTTTTCTAGGCAGAAGTTTCTAATTTTTATGTTGTTGAATTCATCAGATTTTTCTTTTATAGCCAGTGGGTCTTCCATCTTGCTACAGGTTAAATTTCCCCCAAACCGAGACTACACAAATACTCTCCTATATTTCCTTGTTATTTTATTGTTTTATGCTTTAAGTTTAGCTCTTTAATCCATCTGGGACTTGTTTCATATAATATGAAGAAGTAATAATGAGTCATAATAAGAACAAGCATTTACTGAGCAATTATTTGTGGCAGGCGCTGTGTACTTTATAGACTTTAGGATTAGAGATAAGAAAACTAAGAACTAGAGAATTTAAGGAACCAGCCAAGTTTACCCAGCCAGGGCACAAACCTAGGATCTGAACCCAAACAAACTCACTCAGGATCTTGTCCTTCTAAATATCCAGATGAGCAGTTAACTATGCCAACCCCACCTAACACACACCCTTCCCCACATAATTAAAGTACAAATCCACGATACAAGTCCTAATATAGAGTCAGTATATCTCTGAATTATATTGCAATTGTGTTGTGTTGCAACTATATTATTTTGATTTTAGGAGTTTCATAGTAAGTTTTGTTCTCTCTACTAAGGTAAGTGCTCCTTTACCACTCTTCCAAATGTATCCAACAAACTTTTTTTAAAGATTTTATTTATTTATATTTAGAGAGGAAGGGAAGGAGAGAGGGAGAAAAATATTGATGTATGGTGGTTACTTCTTGTGCTTCCCCTACTGGGAACTGGTCTGCAACCCAGGCATGTGCCCTGACTGAGAATCAAACCACCATCCTTTGGTTCGCAGACCCGCGCTCAATCCACTGAGCTGTGCCAGCCAGGGCTATCCAATAAACTTTTAAATATTTTTATTCCACACAAATATTTAAATCATTGTCTAATTTCTAACAAAATGTATCTTGATGTCTTCATTTCTATTACATTAATTGTATCTCTTAGTTTGTTAAGAATCGACATTTAATCCTTCTACCCATATATATAGTATATGCTCCATTTATTTAGGTACTTGAATAAAATGTTAATTTTAAAAAACATAATTCTTGTGCCTTTATCATTGATTTTGTTCTATGTTATTTTATAATTTTTGTCACTATTAGGAATGGTATTTTTTTCCATATCTAACAGATAACTGTTAATATAGAAGAAAGCTAATGATCTGAGTATATACATCTGGTATTTATCAACTGACCTAAAATTTCTAATTTTCTAATTGTTTTTTAATTGAACTGTTTGCATTTTTTAGGCATATGGTCACACCACTGCGAAATGCTTACCTTTAAGCTTCGTGGAGGAGTCTTATCACATTTGTTAAAGTCTTCCAGCTTTGTCACTAATTTTAACGGCAGTCACTTTACTGTTTCTCTCAGGCAGATGCTCTCGCTGACTGTAATTCAGTCTTTGGCTGGTGCACGTAGTTTCCTTCTGTTCCTGTAATACTTGGAACTTGTATTAGAAAACCTACTTAACGTTACCAAATTTTCACTTATTGCTACAATAACATAATTTTTACCTTTAATTAGATAATATTCGAAGTTGATACGTGTTCCTACTGTTCTAAAACATTACAATTCTGGAATAAGCACTCCATGATTATTATCATGCTTTCCAATCCATTCCAGATCATGAAAAAAGGCAGAAAGCCCACTCTGTTCACCGTATATGTATCCCCTTAGTACCAAAACTTGCTACAAAATATGTAACACAACAATTATAAAATAATTTTACTTATGAAGATATAAACAATTCTAAATAAAATATTAGTAAATTAAATCAACCAGTGGGTTAAAAGAATGATAGCAAATGATATGAGAGTATAATTAAAAGACTTAAGACATTCAAAAGCAACAAAAAATGCTACAGTAAAAGTATCTCAAAAAATGGCTACATATCAGAATTCAATAATATCAAAAAAAGTGGCTTTCTACACTAACAACCAGTTTGAATAGAAATAGAAAAAACAGTATCCTATTCATAGCATAGATGTTTTTTAACCAAATTTTTGAGAGAAAAATTATTTTCAGTGTCACTTGTGGATTTGTGAAACATGATCTTGAAAATTGAAAGTAAACGTGGGTGAGGCCCCGAGTGTTGTCTAATGATTAATTCATGCCAGACTCTTTACAGATGGGCCCTTGGGTACTGACTCATCACACCTCCATTCCCTCAACCACCAGCCAAATTCAAAACGATCCTCAAGTTTCCCTGAAAATTACTGATGAAATTGAGTTTCACAGGAGAATTTGTGAAATTAATTTCCTTTGTTTGGACTGGTCTTTACAATAAGGACATAGCTGGTGTGCACTTTAAGTCTGCTAAACTCTGTGTTGTCACCCTTAACTATTAAAAAAAAAAGACAAACCTCCACATTTCTATCCCCTCCAGGGATAGAAAGTTCCCTGGGGAAAAAAAAAGAACTGGGTTGTCTCATTTTTTGGAAGTTTCTCACATCCATTCATTCAGGGATATAACAAATATCTGTTGCACACAGTGCGGTGCCATGTGCTGTGCAGGGCGGTGGGCAGCACAGCAGGTCAGGGGCCTGCCTTCCGAGAGCTCGCAGACTAGTGGCCTGAGGCTACTGCTCAGCAGAAAGTGAGACAGACATTCGCCTTTCCTCTGGAACAACAAAATGCAGAGCAACAATAAACAAAAATTAGTTATCTCCACTTCTAACTGAACAAATAGGGTCGTCATTATGAAAAGACCTGTAACAGTACACCACAGTAACCTGCGATAACCCATCCAGTCAAGTCCTTTTCCAGTCCAGTTCTGTGTCCTCCTCTGCTCTGCTGCATGAGGCTCGTGCTTTCTAAATAGACAGAAGCAGCATTTCCTCCCCGGCTTCTCTCTGGGGCTAAGGTCAGCCTTGAGCGGAGGCCAGCATGAGTCAGCTTCCCCAGCAGGGACTCTGACCTCAGCCTGGAGGCTAGCCTTGCTAAAACCTTGCTGCACACATATGGCGTGGGAACCCAGGGTCCAGGACAAAGTGTGGGCATGCCCCCGTGGAATATGGGGCATGGATCCTGTGTAGACTCTGGGTCAACAGGGTAGTAACGAGAAACACCTCAGTTATTTCCCTAAAGAAATTTTTAATCATAACAGGAGCCACCAAACTGGTCATATATTTGATCTCATAATTCCATTTTGGGGAATTTATGCTGTGGAAACCACCCAAAAGAAAAAATGTCCAAAGATCTTCTCATAATGGTGCAGTAGGTAATCATGATATTCATAGCATCCCGCATACTTCCAGTGGAGAACTGTGCTGTAACCTGGATGAAACATTTCAGAGGCATTAAAAATGGAAAGGATGTGTACTATGTTAATTCACAGAAAGAACGATATTTAGAACAGAACATAAGATGGAATTCACACATGGATTATAATTGTATGAAATATCAGTAGGATGTCAAGAAAGGTTAGGAGAGAATTTAGAATATTGCTAATGGTTTAGAATTTAGGTTTTTGCCCCCTAGAATTCTTTGCTTTTTTAAAAAGAAAACCACTCAGTATGCAAATAAGAACTAATGACAACTGACATGACATGTAAAACCTCTTCAGTCCAGGCTTAAAAGGAAAGAGCAGAAGCAGCTGCTGGATCTTTGAGTCGGCCCCACCCCCAGCCTCTCCAGACCCAGAAGGAGAGACCAGGTTCTGAGGCCCTACCACCTCCAGACGGATCACCCCTGATGTTAGCCAATCAGATAGCATGTATCTCACTTTCTCTGGGATGCTGGTTCTGAGCTCTGTCCCTCTTCATTCTAACTAGTAATGCTAATTCCCTGACTATGGCAACCTTCACTGGGGCTGTTTGCCTGGAACTCTACCATGTCTGTCTTCATGCCTTTCATGTTCTCGCACAGGCCTCCTCCTATCACCTTCAAGTGGAGCTGCTCCCCCTAACACCCATTCCACTGCATTTAGCTGGCTTTTATGCCCAGATGTCCTCACCTTACCAAAGTTCATACCTTCATAGCTCAATGGCTCTTATACTTTTAAGGATCTCTACTAAAAGATAAACTTACTTAAAACCTGTACCATCTTAAGCCAGTATTTTGCAACATTATAGTGGTGTTTATCCTTCCTTGAGTGAACAGGGAAAGGGCAGGAGGCAGCTACCTGTTATTAATACCTGGTCTGTGTCTAGCACTTTTTATACATCAACATTCACAACTTTGCAAGAAAACATTATGTTTCCCTTTGCAGATCAGAGAGGTTAAACAACTTGCCCATGATCACATAGCCGGTATGTGACAAAGTCAAACTTTAAGCCCAGGACCTATTTGACTGGAAAGCCAGGGCTCTTTCAACCACCCCACGCTGTACCCAAAGTAGTTTCAGAGAAAGCACAGGGCTGGGAGTCAGAAGCCCAGCTGCGTGGCCCTGCACACCCAGACTTACTCCCCTGGGCTTTGGTTTTCATATCTGTAAATTCAGGGAACTGAACTTACGAAGCTGCACACTAGGAAGAAATAGAAAGGGCTAGGGAAAGGCCAGAATGGTCCCCAAAGGCCCTCCTTTCCCATTTTATCTAAGGACCGCTGACCAGCCATCACAGGTGCCCACGTGGCATCTTACCATCCACAGAGAAGGAGAAAGGGCCAGGCTGATGGCAAATTTTCCTCAATTGTTATATGAGGAAATAAGCACAGGACTCCTCACACTTTTGAAAGAAGAATCCTTTCTGATAGAAAGCTCTGAGCTGGCAGTTTTAAGCTCTGAAATAGAAATACCTTCCCGTATGATGTGGGGAAAGCCTGGTGGAAATGTCACTGGCCACCACTGTGGGTGCAGGATTAGCAGTGTGGAGGTCATCTGAGGACAGACTCCGAATTTGCAAGAAGGACTGGAAGGAGGAAATACATCAGGTTTTAGTTTTTACACCCGGGACTAAGTTATGTCACGATAAGCTCTGTCATCAAAGACAACGTGCAGGATGCAAGTGGCAGGAAGCACTGCAGTGGGACAATCCCTCCTGAACAGCTCAGACGGTGAGGCACGGACTGTGCCTTTCCCAGGACCTACCACACAGGCAAGCTTCCTGTGCCATCAGACACAGACCTATAATCACCTCTCTTAAATGCACAAGATTACACTTTCCTAAGTTTTATTAAGCACAATTCATGAAATCCAACCTAGAACAAGGTGGAAAGCATTTAAAATTCAGCATCAACCCACCAGGAACTGGGGCTGAACGCAAACCTTCCCCCACCCCTCCTGAGTTCCTGTTTCCAGGAGCTGTTTTTCCCCTGCAGCAAGCACTGGGCTGGCAGGGACCGTTAGCTATGCTCTCCTAGGGAGGTCAGGTCGCTTGGTATCTGCAGAAGCTGCCATGCCATGTCCAAGAGAGGGCACGTGTCAACACGGCTGACAGCAAGCAGTGGGGGCTGGTCTGCTCCCTCAGTTCTTCCCGAAAGGCTGTCCTCAGTGCTCCCTGCATGAGCAGGGCGGGGGACCCGCACCTCCGTGCTGGGTGGAGCGGGAGCAGCCGCCCACCTGCCCGCTTGCACGCTGCACCCTTACCGGGGTTGACGATTAGTGAGCAGCACTCTGAAAGTTCTGGGGACGTTTGCCAGCCTCCACGCATTTTTAAAACAGACTGTCAGGAGGAAGATTTGGTAAATTCTAAAAGCTCAAACGATAGGCAAAGAGGGTGCGTTAGTTTTTTCTACTTCCAAAGCACCATGTCAGCACTGACTTCCGCTTCTTGGGGTCTCTGCAAAGGTGAAACTGTGGGGAGACAGAACCTCAACCCTCTCTACTGAGCTGCGGGGCGTGCTACATGATGCTATTAATAGAAGATATTTGAGGACTTCTAACAACAAACCACGTTGTTAGAATTGACCTTTACAATTCAAATCACAGCATTGTATGTCTTCCCTATCCCACAGTACGTTTCCAGATAAATTGCTAATTCAGAGTGAACATACCCCTTGTCAGAGGCTCCATGGAGCGGGCTTGGGGCAGAAGGCACGCATCATTTGGGGACTTTGTTTTGTTGTTAGATCCCCAGGTGACTGATTCTCAAGTGCAGACACCACTTCCCCAGTCACTGAGGTTCACAGCCAACAGCTTTTGTGTTTTCTATTTTTGGTTTAGCTTTTTTGGGTCGTGGAGGTCAGTTAATTAGAGAAGCTTCTGCCTGAGCAGGGACAAAACAAATACTGAGTTGAGCCTAACTCTGGGCTTAGAAAGCCTTGGGGGTGGGTGTTCTTAAACATCCCACAAACGTTTATCAAGTGTCCACTCCGTGACAGGTGCTTTGAATAGAGCAGCCAGCAAAGGCCTCGCAGAGCTTATATTTCAGTAGGGGAAAAGAATGAATAAATATATTTTACACCACATATTATATAATGTCAGTTAGTGAACTAGGAAGAAAATAAAGCAGGGTGAGGAGGCAGAGAGTGATGGGGGCTGTTAATTCTGAG